GGGTGTGAAGATGTAGATCAGCAGATGTGAGGGTGAAGATGTAGATCAGCAGGTGTGAGGTGTGAAGATGTAGATCTGCAGGTGTGAGGGTGTGAAGATGTAGATCAGCAGATGTGAGGGTGTGAAGATCTAGATCTGCAGGTGTGAAGGTGTGAAGATGTAGATCTGCAGGTGTGAGGGTGTGAAGATGTAGATCAGCAGAGTAGATCAGCAGATGTGAGGGTGTGAAGATGTAGATCAGCAGGTGTGAGGGTGTGAAGATGTAGATCAGCAGGTGTGAAGGTGTGAAGATGTATTACAACGGCTGCTTTTTTACGAAGAACCCTTCGCAGGCGCTCTCGGGAAAAACCAGAACCAAATTGCCAAAAAGCGCAAAGCTGATGAAGACGCGCAGCAGCCAGCCCCACGCAAGTGGATGCCCCATCCCAAATTGCAAGGCCTTCCTCGAACCTGAGCCGCTAACTCCAAAAGCAAAAGCACATCCTTTCCTTGAGCCAGAGCAGCCCGCATTGTCAGCCGCTGCATCCAGCTCAGCTCGCCCTGATGCTCGCCGGGCATCGGACCGGGATTGGTCTTGGAGCTTCAACTTGGTGCATTGTACATAGCTGGATGTAGCGTGGTAAATTGCTCTCCAGCAGGGTGCGATTTGGGTTTTCCAGGCTTGAGCTTTGTAAAGGGACATGTATAGAGGGCGTATGTATAGGCCATCAAAAACATATCCAAACAAACCGCCCATCTGCAGAGATTTGTAGCAAAACTTCTACCGTCTCGTCTTGGCCGTGCTTGCCTGATGTGGGTGTAAAACACCTGCAGCAAAACCCATGTAGCATAGCATCAACTACCCTGCGTTGGTTCAAAAGTATCAACTGCTCAACGGTTTACCTGTGGTCCCATAGCCCCATTGTCGGCGGTGACCATAAAATACAGTTCAGCACGAAGCCATTGTCATACGCAAATGCAACCATATTCGCCATGCGCACCAAGTGCCAGGTTTGAAGCCCGACGATAAGCGGATCCTGGTGTCGCCTGCGTGCCAAGCTTGTGTTTGCTCTGACAGACATTGTCGCAAACTAATTCCGGTAAACAATTTTCAACAATCTGCCAGATTTTCATTCCCAAAGAAAAAAATGCCCAATTGCATAACATTCTAGACTGTAAGCAGATCTCGTTTTTTCTACGGGGCCTGGAACTTAGCCCCTTTTTGTAAATCTTTTACCATCTTTGTCATGTCACGAATTGTTCGTAGCACATGGAATCTTAGATTCCATTTATAGTCTTTGTGCAAACAAAATCGTATATATATACATATATATATATAAATTGGGTAGATCCTAATACCTATAACAGTCAAAAAACAAATTTTCTTCATAAGTTGAGGAAGCTATTTTTTATCGCTCCCTCCGTGACACTTTTCGTGCTCTAGTTCGTGCTTTTTTTTCGCTCCCTCCGTGACACTTTTCGTGCTTTAGTTCGTGCTTTTTTTCGCTCCCTCCGTGACACTTTTCGTGCTCTAGTTCGTGCTTTTTTTTTTCGCTCCCTCCGTGACACTTTTCGTGCTCTAGTTCGTGCTTTTTTTTCGCTCCCTCCGTGACACTTTTCGTGCTTTAGTTCGTGCCTTTTTTTTGTTTCGCTCCCTCCGTGACACTTTTCGTGCTCTAGTTCGTGCTTTTTTTCCGCTCCCTCCGTGACACTTTTCGTGCTCTAGTTCGTGCTTTTTTTTGTTTCGCTCCCTCCGTGACACTTTTCGTGCTTTAGTTCGTGCCTTTTTTTTGTTTCGCTCCCTCCGTGACACTTTTCGTGCTTTAGTTCGTGCCTTTTTTTTCGCTCCCTCCGTGACACTTTTTGTGCTCTAGTTCGTGCTTTTTTTTCGCTCCCTCCGTGACACTTTTCGTGCTCTAGTTCGTGCTTTTTTTTCGCTCCCTCCGTGACACTTTTCGTGCTCTAGTTCGTGCTTTTTTTTTCGCTCCCTCCGTGACACTTTTCGTGCTCTAGTTCGTGCTTTTTTTTCGCTCCCTCCGTGACACTTTTCGTGCTCTAGTTCGTGCTTTTTTTTCGCTCCCTCCGTGACACTTTTCGTGCTCTAGTTGGTGCTTTTTTTTCGCTCCCTCCGTGCTCCTTTTCGTGCTCTGTTTCGTGCTTACTGTTACAGCAATTAGGATTCAGCCAATATATAAATAAATAAATATATATTATATATATATAAATAAATAAATAAATATATATATATATGTATATACGTGTACATATATGCATTGATAAATAGTGATGCGCATATTTTGCAGAGTGCATTGGGGAATTCTTTTGTGTTTTGCAATATGTTTTTTTCCCACCGGGAAAGGTGTGCTGAGCATCTCTCTGGTGCGACGTGCGACGAGGGTCGTCCATTGGATGATGTTCGACGTGATCTGCCCTGGGCACAAGGCCTTTTCTGCATTAATGGCCTCAGTGCGCTCTCGGCGCATTCTGTTTCCGGTTGTTTTGAACCCTATTGACAACTGATGCGACGGTCCTGACAGCACTTTTCAAGCCTCAATCTCTTTATGCCCTTTCTGTGTCTCCAATTGGCACACCGAGTCGGATCCCAGGCTGGAGAGGCTTTGCCGACTTGTCAGAAAATTGGTGGACAGAGGAGCGGCCAGAGGAGGCATTGCGTGTTGCTACTTTCTTGCGATTCCTGCAGGAGATGTGCTTGGGTGGCATGGGGCATCTTGAGGGGAGTCGATTTTAGACACTTAGGGTTCAAGAGGTTTGTCAACATGACATGACCCACGAGTCGACAATGTGCAAAAGACCAACACCCACTTCTCCAGTATGTAGAAGTACAGGCGTGAGAGTAACAATGTTCCTGATGCCAGGAGCAGCACGAATCTGTAGATTCTACAAGCTTACCAAATAGCACGAGTCCACACAAAGTTGTCATCCTTGCCATCCACATCTTCGTCCACATCCAACATCCTTATGTTGTTGACCAATCATTGTTGCCTGCCCGTTATCATCATCATCATCATCACCACAACCACCACCACCACCATCATTATTATCATCATCATCACCACCACGATTGCCATTGCCATTGCCACTGCCATCACCAACAACATCACCCTCACCACCATCATTGCCACTTTCGTCATTGTGATGGTAGAGCCTTACAGAAGATCCAACTACCCTGCAGCAGCAAGATATAGTGAACAAAATGTGCCTACATGTGTAGTACGCTGTGAGATTGTGAAAAGGCATGCAGCACATACATGCGAGTGCGGATATTGTCCGCATTGTGGGCCCATATGACGGTTTTTGTGAAGCACCGGGCGCGGGGCCGATTGAGATTGCAATCCATGTATATGTCACCAAAAAAACGGCTCAAACCAAATGCTGCAGCCCACCAGCAATAGGCAAACTTAACTTACCCCGATTCATTGCACGAGGAGCGTTCAGAACGCAGAATCGTCGTCGTGTCGCACGGAGCTTTTCTTGGCTACATTGCGCGGGCCTTGAGAATGCATTTGAACTGCTACTGTTTCACAGCATTTCCGCGCAGGACAGCTGAATGCTCGACCTAAGGTTGGATACCAGCTGGAAAACGCACAGAACCACATCATGACTTTGGAAGATTCTCTAACAGCAAAGAAGGCCTGCGAGAGATCAGCCTTCAACATCGGTTTTGCCGTCATAAGACAGCCACAAACTCAGTATGACTCATTTTTTTCAAACACTTGGCTGAAGCCGGTTGCAAGCGAAACACCAGACAAGTTTTGAGAGTTTATACACGTGCATCATGAGCTGTTCCATGAAAGATAGGTCTACTTCACGAAGGTGATCTGATTGAATATTCCAAGGTATGAAGATGCACCTCTGAAGCGACTAGCCAAGGCACTTTACCCCGGAATGCGTTTTTCTCCTTTGATCTTAAGTGCTGTAGGGAGCAGTCGTTAACATCAATTGCTTCCATGTTTTTTTTTTCGTAGTTCATTTTGTTCTATTCTTTGTGAGTGCATTATTTTGTTTTCTTTAAGTTTTGTTAGCACATCTCCCAAAGGCCTCAGCATCTCACATCTTATGGCGCCAGAGTGCAGGCGCCGCTGACTTGCCTTCAGGGTCTTGGTCGGAAGCATGCTGCCATGCTGGCCTCCCTGGGGCCAAAGACAGTCAATGATTCTTGGTAGAACTCAGAGGAAACTTGCACGGGCCTGGTCGTACAACTTGGCAAACAGAACTCCGCAAGAGCGGAAAATGGTTATTTGATCTTTGATTTGGAGTGCAGGCGGAACGATTGCAAAAGCTCTCGCTTGGGTATCGTGATATCAACTCCTTCCTTCCTTCTTACTTTACTTTGTGGCGTTTTTGTGCGCCATGTGACAGAGTGATTAAGTGAAACCAGCCATCCTCCAAAAAGGCTGCGCTTTGGTGCGCGAATGAAATAAGAGTTTGAGTTTGAATGCGGGTTGGCATTTACAAAGCCTGCTCCGAATCACCAGCATTTGGATTGGCAGTAAGCAAGGGCGAGTTTTGGTGGCCATGGGGCCTTGGTAGCTCGAGGAGGGCTTGCAGGCGTGTAAAGGAAGCAGTACTGTAAAGAAATCGAACGCTGTGGCTTCCTTTGGGTATTTTTCCCGAATGTGTTGCGAGGGGTTCTCGTTTTACTTTGGGGGTCTGGGGGTTGACCTGTGTCGGCTCGACGCTCCTTCTGCGACCACAACTGTCGGCGACCCTTTGCACCCGTGGGCAACTGTCCGCGATGATTGCGCTGTGGCCGTGCCTATGGGGAGTGCTGCAAAAGTGGAGGTTTCAAACGTTGCGTAACTTCGTTTCGGGTGGCAGGCGTGGCGCTTCGTGACATTAAAGCATGTTTCATAACGTGTCAAAAGGGCGTCATGTGTGACAGGCGCAATATTTTTGCATCGTTTTCACAAAATGACGTCCATTTTCTTGGGAGGCACGCGCTTTGGAGACCTCCAGCATGCAGCGCGTCAGACGTGTTGTGTTACGTGCTTTTTGCAGATTGCATTGTGCCGGCTACCTCAAGTGGTGACAACGCGCAGATTCTGTGGCAGGCTTGGCATTTTGTGACATGTGATGAAAATTAAAGGGCTACGCCCTCTGCCGCCGACCCCTGGACACTGGAGGGTCATGCCTGCCTCTGTTGCGTAAAAATCATTTTTTTTACCATTAAAATCTATAACAAAATCATAGTATATAAATGCGTATAGCAGTGCCTCTGAAAAGGGTATGAGAACACATCAAAGCACCAGTGAAAATACCAAACTGATTCAATGCATTATTCGACCTTACAATCAACATCACATTTCATCATCTCATATTTGTTGCGCATCTTGGCAGCTGAAACAGTGCATCAACACATGTCAATGACTTCTTGTATCTTCCAAGCCTGTAGAGAGATAGAGAGAGGCTAGGTTGGCATGGCCCTGTCGCTGAACAAAAAGCACATGGTGTTCGATGCGTGTGTGGCCATTTCTAGTTGTGAAGCAGCTTGACAAAAGGCTCGGAGTGGAGTCAAACTGAGCAAGTGGCTTAGAGGAAAGGGAGGGCATGTAGACTAAGACCTAGGACTGGACCACCAGCTGTGTCAGTGACTATTCTTTCAGAGAGAGACAGAGAGAACAGCTGTCTATCCAAGTCTTATGTACATACGTGCAGATAGATAAATGAACAGACAGATAACGTACAGAGAGATAGATGCATAGATAGCTAGATAGATAGATAGATAGATAGATGGAGAGATCAACATGGGCGTCTACCTGTCTATCTGTCTATCTATCGATCTATCTGGCTATCTGTCTACCTGTCTGTCTGTCTATCTATTTATATCTATCTGTCTATCTGTCTACCTGTCTATCTGTGGTGCAGTGTCATTCAGTGTAGTGTAGTGGAGTCTGGTGTAGTGTAGTGTAATTAGTATAGTACAGTGTAGTGTAGTGTAAATGTAGTATTGTAGTTGTAGTTGTAGTTGTTGTTGTAGGTTAGTTGTAGTTAGTGTAGTGTAGTGTAGCGTAGTGGAATGTAGTGTAGTGTAGTGTAGCGTAGTGGAATGTAGTGTCGTGTAGTGGAATGTAGTGTAGTGTTGTGTGATGGAGTGTAGTGTAATGTAATGTAGTGTAGCGTAGGGGAGTGTAGCGTAGTGTAGTGTAATGTAGTATGTAGTGTAGTGTAGTGTAATTTAGTGTAGTGGGGTGTAGTGCAGTGTAGTGGAGTGTAGTTGTGCAGTTGTTGTTGTAGTGTAGTGGAGTGTAGTGTAGCGTAATTTAGTGTAGTGGAAGGTAGCGTAGTTTAGTGTAATGTAGTGGAGTGTAGTGGAGAGTAGTGTCATGTAGTGTAGTGTAATGTAGTGGAGTGTAGTGGAGAGTAGTGTCATGGAGTGTCATCTTGCAGCTAACTTGCATCCTGCACAGCTCCGGTCAAAGGACCCCCCCGCAGGGCTTAAACACCACGGCCTAGAAACTAGCTGCAAACCTGATATTTGCTTGCCTTCTTGCACTGCCACCTCCTGACTTGCCCGCGTCCTCTTGCAGCTGGCTTGCGTCCTGCACAGCTCCGGTCAAAGGAACCCCCGGCAGGGCTAAAACACCATGGCAGTGAAGGACAGATCGGGCCCGCGGCCAACAGCCCAGAGAGCTTCCATTTGCTTGCCTTCCTGCGCTCCCAGCCTGCGTCCTCTTGCAGCTGGCTTGCGTCCTGCACAGCTCCGGTCAAAGGACCCCTTCGCAGGGCTAAAACACCATGGCAGTGAAGGACGGATTGGGCCCGAGGCCGGCAGCTTTGCCTGCTTTTCTGCACTGCCAAGTGCGAACTTGCTCGTGTCCTCTCGCAGCTGGCTGGCGTCCTCCACAGCTCCGGTCAAAGGGCCCCCTCGCAGGGCTAAAACACCATGGCAGTGAAGGACGGATCGGGCCCGAGGCCGGCAGCCCAGAGTTCCTAACGTCACCTTCTGAAGTGACTAGAAACTAGCTCCGAACTTTGACTTTGCCTGCTTTTCTGCACTGCCAAGTGCGAACTTGCTCGTGTCCTCTTGCAGCTGGCTTGCGTCCTCCACAGCTCCGGTCAAAGGGCCCCCTCGCAGGGCTAAAACACCATGGCAGTGAAGGACGGATCGGGCCCGAGGCCGGCAGCCCAGAGTTCCTAACGTCACCTTTGCGTTTGGAAAAAACAGAAAATAGCTCAACTTTGGACTTTTGCATGCTTTTCTGCACTGCCAAGTGCGAACTTGCTCGTGTCCTCTTGCAGCTGGCTGGCGTCTCCCCAGGCTCCGGCAAAGGGCCCTCGCAGGGCCTAAAAACCATTGCAGTGAAGGACGATCGGGCACCGAGGCCGGCAGCCCAGGAGTTCCTAACGTTCACCTTCTGAAAGTGAAATAGAAATAGCTCCAACTTTGACTTGCCTGCTTTTCTGAACTGCCCAAAATTGTCGAAATTGCTCGTTACTCTTGCAGCGGGCTTTTGCGTTCCTCCACTGCTTCGGTGTCAAAGGGCCCCCTCGAGGGCCTCTAATAACACCATGGCAGTGAAGGACGGATCGGGCCCGAGGCCGGCAGCCCAGAGTTCCTAACGTCACCTTCTGGAGTGACTAGAAACTAGCTCCAAACCTTGACTTTGCCTGCTTTTCTGCACTGCCAACTGCGAACTTGCTCGTGTCCTGTTGCAGCTCCACAGCTCCGGTCAAAGGGCTCCTTCCTAGGGCTAAAACACCATGGCAGTGAAGGACGGATCGGGCCCGCGGCCAACAGCCCAGAGAGGCAAAAGACTAGCTGCAAACCTTCCATTTGCTTGCCTTCCTGCGCTCCCATCTCCTAACTTGCCTGCGTCCTCTTGCAGCTGGCTTGCGTCCTGCACAGCTCCGGTCAAAGGACCCCCTCGCAGGGCTAAAACACCATGGCACCCCACGTCGGTGAGGTAGTGATTCTGACTTGCCCGCTCCGACGACTGTAATGGCGAACAACCGCGTCGCCCACTCCCACTCCGTTTTCAGACCCCACGGACCGTCGCTATGTTTACTAAAGTCACCTTCGGAGTGTAATATAGAAAATGAAGATCAAAACTTTTGAATTTGCCTGCCGGGACTACTGCCCTCATCTCGTTCCGGGTGTGTTATCTCGACGGGAGTGTCTTCTTCTTATCGGACCCTTCTGCACTGGCCAAGTCCGTATGCGAAACCCCTCTTCCTTTGCTGGGCTCCCCTCTTGCAGCTGGCACCACGGGCGTCGCCTTTGCTCCTCTCAATCAGACTGTGCCGGTCGTCACGAAAGCTCTTGTCGCTCTCTCAGATCCCAGCCTCAGTGCACGGGCGCAGGCTGCCCTTTTTGGGCCTTGCTTAACCACACCCACCATGGCAGTGAAGGACGGATCGGGCCCGAGGCCGGCAGCCCAGAGTTCCTAACGTCACCTTCTGGAGTGACTAGAAACTAGCTCCAAACCTTGACTTTGCCTGCTTTTCTGCACTGCCAACTGCGAACTTGCTCGTGTCCTCTTGCAGCTCGCTTGCGTCCTCCACAGCTCCGGTCAAAGGGCCCCTCCGCAGGGCTAAAACACCATGGCAGTGAAGGACGGATCGGGCCCGAGGCCGGCAGCCCAGAGTTCCTAACGTCACCTTCTGAAGTGACTAGAAACTAGCTCCAAACTTTGACTTTGCCTGCTTTTCTGCACTGCCAAGTGCGAACTTGCTCGTGTCCTCTTGCAGCTGGCTTGCGTCCTCCACAGCTCCGGTCAAAGGGCCCCCTCGCAGGGCTAAAACACCATGGCAGTGAAGGGCGGATCGGGCCCGAGGCCGGCAGCCCAGAGTTCCTAAATCACCTTCTGAAATGACTAGAAACTAGCTCCAAACTTTGACTTTGCCTGCTTTTCTGCACTGCCAACTGCGAACTTGCTCGTGTCCTCTTGCAGCTGGCCTGCGTCCTCCACAGCTCCGGTCAAAGGATCCCCCTGCAGGGTCAAAACACCATGGCAGTGAAGGACGGATCAGGCCCGCGGCCAACAGCCGAGAGGGGCAAAAGTTGCTTTCTACACGGTCCTAGAAACTAGCTGCAAACCTTCCATTTGCTTGCGTTCCTGCGCTCCCACCTCCTACCTTGCCTGCGTCCTCTTGCAGCTGGCTTGCGTCCTGCACAGCTCCGGTCAGAGGACCACCTCGCAGGGCTAAAACACCAT